TACACAGCGAGACCCATAGCCTCACACGGAGACCAATAGACTCACACAGCACGCCTGAAGACCATATGACTCACACAGCACGCAGTGGCTCATAGACTCACACAGAGACTCATTAATTCACAAGAGAGACCCATAGCCTCACACGGAGACCCATAGACTCACACAGCACGCAGTGGCTCATAGACTCACACAGAGACTCATGAACTCACAGAGAGCCCCATAGACTCACACAGAGATCCATAAACTCCCAGAGAAACCCATAGCCTCACACGGAGACCCATAGACTCACACAGCACGCAGTGGCTCATTGACTCACAATGAGACTCATTTATACACAGCGAGACCCATAGCCTCACACGGAGACCAATAGACTCACACAGCACGCAGTGGCTCATAGACTCACACAGAGAGTCATGAACTCACAGAGAGACCCATAGACTCACACGGAGACCCATAGACTCACACAGCACGTAGTGGCTCATAGACTCACACAGAGTGTCATGAACTCACAGAGAGACCCATAGACTCCCATGGAGACCCATAGACTCCCACGGAGACCCATGGACCTACCTAAACAGTATCCCAGCACTCCAACGCCTCTCTCGATGACCCTAGCCCAGACATGGGCAAAGTACGGCCCCCGGGCCGTATACGGCCCGTTGGGCTTTTTTATCCGGCCCGCCGAACTTGTCCAAATATTATTATTATTAAATTAAATTTTACCTTTCTCCTGTAATGCCCCCATTTCCCCATTAGATGGCGCACTTTGACCGGCAGTGTGATGTATAGGCCCTATTGTTCGTGCAATTTGTGAAATTGCCTCGCAAATAAATGCTTTGCTACCTGTTAAAGGCCAAATCCTTTCACGTAATGATTTTTAACACGTCATTTATATTTAGTTCACACAAACACTCCATCCATCTGGTTCCTGGCCCGGCCTCTCTGTCAAATTTTAGAACCCATTGTGGCCCGCGAGTCAAAAAATTTGCCCACTCCTGCCCTAGCCCTCCCACATCCTGCACCCATGCAACGGTGCCGAGCGCCACATGCAAACGTCCATCACTTCTTCCTCTTTTCTTCGCGAGCCCGAGTTAAAAACGGGGAACTTGGTCTCTAAAATTATCACTTGAGTCCCTCGCCTGCGCTTATCCGACATCTGCCGAGGCCACAAGTAAGCGCGGCCTGCGAGTGTTCACTCGCGCCCTGTGAACGTCGCGATGATTGCCACAGGCGGGTGTGAATGATTTATCGTTGTTGTTGTTGTTGTTGCTGTTGATGTTGTTATTATTGCGCAATGACTCGATGCACAGTGACCGGTTGCAATACTTGATTTTGGAACTTTCGTGACTGTAGGAATCCATACTCTTCGATTCTTTACTCTTTGGTTCTATTCGGTAAAGTCACCACGTAGGTAGAAAATAAAACAACAAAAAATCACGACGTTTCGGCCACAACACAAGCGGCCTTCTTCAGGTGATGGAACAGAACTGTCGGGACGACGGCGCCTACAATGACGCGGTTCTTTCCCCACCTGATGACGGACCCTTGGTGTTGCGCCCGAAACGTCGTGATTTATTTTATTTTATACCTACGTGACGTTGCCCAAAGGACCAAAGGGCATGGTTGCAATACGATAACTGTGCATAATGAAGGGGTTTTTTTTTTTTTGGGGGGGGGGGGGATGTTAGATCGCGTAAGCCTAAATGTGTCGTAACCCCCCACCACCCGACACAGCCAGTGAAGTTTGTCACGTGAACAACGCGTGCCAATTAGTGTACTGCCTCAACCCACCGGTGTGTCGGAGAGTGAATGTGCTCAGATTCATCTTCTTTGGTTCTTTCGGTAAAGTCACGTGACTTTACCGAAAGAACCAAAGAAGATGAATCCTTGCAGTCACGAAAGCTTTAAATCGAAATTTGTACTCAGATTGTAAATGTTGTGGAATTACTCTTCCACACACCTGTGGGCTGCAGTAGTAAACTAATTGGCTGCGTCGGGTGGTGGAGGGTTACGACACATTTATACTTCGGCGATCTAACTAAAAAAAACCTTTATCATGAAGAAGAACGGTCGCGAACGCCCATGCTACGTGTTGAACTGGCGATAACTGTAATATATATTGTAATATTCAATGTCGCTCTTGCAAAATGAGACTGTCCTGTTTCTCTTGAGATACTTGCATTCGATGCGAGATAGTGGTGGGCTTGCGGGAGGCCTTCATCCAGCAGTGGATCGACCATGGCTGGTGATGCATTTCGACTTTCACGTCACTCTTTGCAAAGGGGACTTCCGTGGCCTCTTGGAGTCGCTGGAGGCGCTTTGCATTCCAGGAGAGATGGGCTGCGCCTTTAAAGGGGCCTTCTTCCAGCAGTGGCTCGACCATGGCTAATGGTGATGACGAATGATGATGATGATGCGCTTACCGGGGAGTGAAACACAGCATCGCGTCAGTCTGCCAGAAACAAATAAAAGCCAAGCTCCGTGCTTTCCTCTCGATGGAAGTTTATTTTTATTTTTATTGTGGGCGGCATTGCTTTAACGCCAAGCAAGCTCTGGAGCGGGTTTGAACATCCAGTGTCTCGTCAACAATCACGCTTGCTGAGACCAATGCTTGTGCACCGACGGATGTCATTGCATCGAGGCACGGACCCCCACCTGTAACGATCTCGGTAGGGCGGTTCCAAGTTAAACAGCACCGCGGTGGCTATGAGATGTTAACTACCTCGCCTGGTATGCAGGAGGGCGTGGGTTCGATCCCGACCCTGACGATGCCTGCTGTTGTATATTTGGAGCTTGCGGTGTCTCTCATCATCATGATCACGGTGGCTAGGAGATGTTAACTACCTCGTCTGGTATGCAGGAGGTCGTGCGTTCGATCCCGATCTCGACCCTGACGATGCCTACTGCTGTATATTTGGAGTATGCGTGTCTCTCTCTCTCTCTTTCATCATCAGCGCGGTGGCTAGGAGATGTCAACATCGCCACGCGTTTAGAATATTTGGCTGCCGGTATAAATGTCCACGTGCTAGTGGTGATGATGATGATGATGAGCCGTCACACTTCGCTGAACTATTTTTTTTGATAGCCGGGTCGCTTCAGAAAAAGATCGAAACAGCTCAGTGGGCCTTGCCTGGTAAAATAAAAAAAGAATGTGCTTTATAACTTTAGTAAATAATTATATACTTAAAAAAATAACTCTAACTTCCCATCAAGTGGACTGGGCACTCCATGTGATGATGATGATAAGCGGCCACAATTCGTTGAGCTATCATTTGTGATACAGAGCAGCTCGCTGTAAAAAAAAGTTTAGTTCAGTTTAGTTTCAAAATTAAATCATTCTAAATCATCGTGAGCGGTCGTCCCTCGCTGAAGATTACGGCCAGGTGAGTGGAAAGAATATTACCGACTCCCCTGCCTGCCTGCCTGGGTCTGTACATCTGTGAAAACGAGATGTGGAGCTCATCGGATTCCTTCAGTACAAATACAATGAGTCTGATTCTGTACAAAAGCACCGTAGTTCAACATCGTACATAAAATATTCTGCGTAGGTTGATGATGCTGTCACCACAGCGGTGTGATGAATGGTCAGAAAGCCAGACATGCAATCCAGATAAGTTTATTTTTTTGTGTGTGTTATATACAATTGCAATATAATTATTAGGATTGATGTTTCTGTAACTTTAACAATTATTAGTCTTGGTTCTTTCGGTAAAGTCACCACGTAGAAGGGAATTAATAAAATAATAAAAATCAAACAATACAATTCTCACGACGTTTCGATTACAACACAAGCAATCATCATTACCGAAAGAACCAAGAATATGAATCCCTGCAGTCACGAAAGCTTCCAAACGAAATTTAACAATTATTGTACCATGATCAGTGCAAACATTTTAATCTGCCCGAAACAACTTCTGCTCCCGTACTTGGAATTTACGATTAAATCATCGATTTATGTTTGTGCAACGCATTATTTTTGATTTCCCATGAGACGACTTCGAGCTATGTTTGCTTCATCTCACTTGCTGTGCTTCATTTCCTTAGCTTTTGTAACTTTGTGACTTCCGTTTCTCTTGCGAATGAGACTCCTCTATCGCGGTGTCTCGGGCTCACAGCCTGGTCAAAGAAAGTTAACTCGAGACTTGAACTCTCTCACTCATCACCTCGCCATCTCACTCGCCCACCAACTCATTCACCCACTAAATCACGCACTCATTCACCCACTCATTTACCAAATCACTCATTCAGTCACCCACTCAATCACCCAGTTATTCGTTTACTCACTCGCAAATTCACCCACTCATTCGCCGATTCAATCACCCAGTCACTCATCCACCCACTCCGTCATTCACTCACTCATTCACCCACTCAATCATTCACTTACTCATTCACCGAGCCACCCATTCACCCATCCACTCGCTAACTCATTCACCCATCCGTTCGCTCACTCGTTCACCCACTCAATCACCCAGTCAATCGTTCACCCACTCGCTCATTCACTCACTCACTCGCTCATTCTATTGTTCATTTGCCCATTCAATGTACCCAGTCACTCATTCACCCACTCGCTCATTCACTTACTCATTCACCCACTCACTCGTTCACCCACTCTTAAACAATGACACTCCTATAGGAATAGGTTTTACTGGCACAAAAACTGACACCTTTATTCAAGGCATCATGTTTGCAATAACCACAACACAAGCAGTCAAAATGCAAACAAAAAAGACAACTTTTTGGTTTGCAAACATGATGCCTTGAATAAAGGTGTCAGTTTTTGTGCCAGTTAAAAAAGGTTAAACCTATTCCTATATCTTGTTACTGGCAAAGGAGGTCTCATAATGACACTCCTGTTTCGCTCTCTCGACCGACGTCTCACTCCGGTCACCCCACAACAACAACAACAACACAAACACAACAACAACAACAACACCCCCACCCCCTCCCCTCCCCCACGAAGCGCAACCCGACTCCCCCCGCGTGCTGTGCCCGCCTGACAGTGCCCGCTCGACGCCTCCTCCTCCTCCACCACCACCTCCACCTCCTCCTCCTCCCGCCCCTGCTCATCACCTCCCTGGGCGCGAGCCCCTGCCCGAGGCCGTGCCAGTGCGAGGGCACCGCGGTGCGTTGCGACGGCCGCAACTTGAGCGCCTTCCCGCACGACATCCCCCGCGACGCCACCGCGGTCCTCCTGCACGACAACAACATCGCTCGCGTGCCCGAGGGGGCCCTCGAGGCGCTGCCGAGGCTGCGCGCCATCACGCTGCACGGCAATCCGCTGCTCTGCGACTGCGGCGTTGCCTACCTGCACGCGTGGCTGCGTCAAAACCTGGGCACGGGCGCGGGCGGCGGCGAGGAGGGCTCTAGGTCACGACTCAACGTGCGGTGCGCCGGACCGCCGGCGCTGTGCGGCCGCAGGATCGCGCTCCTCTCGTACCGCGAGGCGTGGGGCTCTTGCGAGCGCGGCTGCTTTTGGCTGAGCGCGTCGCAGGCGGCCCTCTACGTGTTCGGCCTCGCCCACGCGTCGCTCGCCCTCTTGCTCGCCGGCTTCGCGTGCCTCGGGAGCCGCGCGCGCGCCGACGAGCTCCGGGAGGAGGCCGAGTACGAGGACATCGCGCGCGCCGTGGACGCCGAGTACGAGATCATCGGCGGCGGCGGCGGCGGCGGTGGCGGGAGGGCCGCCTCACGCTGAAAAGGGGTGCGGCGGAAAACGTCGCGAACTCGGCATCGAGATTCGCGGTTCGCTTGCCTACGCCGCCACCCACCCACCCACCCACCAACCCACCCACCAACTCACCCACCCAACCACCAACACACCAACCCACCAACCCACCCACCCACCACCAACATACCAACCCACCCACCAACCCACCCACCCACCAACCCACTAACCCACTAACCCACCCACCCACCAACCCACCCACCAACCCGCCCACCCACCAACCCACCCACCCACCCACTAACCCACCCACCAACCCACCCACCAACCCACCCACCAACTCACCCACCCATCCACCAACACACCAACCCACCCACCCACCACCAACATACCAACCCACCCACCAACCCACTAACCCACCCACCAACCCACCCACCAACCCACCCACCAACCCACCCACTAACCGACCCACCAACCCACTAACCCACCCACCAACCCACAACCCACCCACCAACCCGCCCACCCACCAAACCCACCCACCAACCCACCCACTAACCCACCCACCAACCCACCCACCAACCCACCCACCAACCCATCCAACAACACACCTACCAACCCACCAACCCACCCACCCACCAACCCATCCACCCACCAACCCACCCATCCACCCACCAACCCACTAACCCACCAACCCACCAACCCACCCACCAACCCACCCACCGACCCACCAACCACCCACCCACCAACCCCCTCCACTTTCACCCCTACCCCCCCACCATCACCTCCACCATCACCCCCCCCTCCCCACTAAGTCCCAACTATCGCTCTCTTTCCATCAGCCAGGGCGCTCCCTCGTCGCTCCGTTACCGCGTCTGCCGCGCTTTGCCGTCCCCACGGATCCCTCGCAGCGACTCCTCCGTCCCCGATCGGTGTGGGCCGTCGTCCTCCGCTCTCACGCACCGCGTCCAGACGCCGTACACGTCGCAGCTCACGGCAACAACTCCACTTGCTCTACTGCCTCTCTCTCTCTCTCTGTCTGAGTGAGCCAGACTACGGCTCACCGCTCCCCCTCTCTCTCTGTCTGAGCGAGCCAGACTACGGCTCACCGCTCCCCCTCTACTGCCTCTCTCTCTGTCTGAGTGAGCCAGACTACGGCTCACCGCTCCCCTCTACTGCCTCTCTCTGTCTGAGTGAGCCAGACTACGGCTCACCGCTCCCCTCTACTGCCTCTCTCTGTCTGAGTGAGCCAGACTACGGCTCACCGCTCCCCCTCTCTCTCTGTCTGAGCGAGCCAGACTACGGCTCACCGCTCCCCCTCTCTGTCTGAGTGAGCCAGACTACGGCTCACCGCTCCCCTCTACTGCCTCTCTGTGAGTGAGCCAGACTACGGCTCACCGCTCCCCCTCTCTCTCTGTCTGAGCGAGACAGACTACGGCTCACCGCTCCCCCTCTACTGCCTCTCTCTCTGTCTGAGTGAGCCAGACTACGGCTCACCGCTCCCCTCTACTGCCTCCCTCTGAGTGAGCCAGACTACGGCTCACCGCTCCCCCTCTCTCTCTGTCTGAGCGAGACAGACTACGGCTCACCGCTCCCCCTCTACTGCCTCTCTCTCTGTCTGAGTGAGCCAGACTACGGCTCACCGCTCCCCTCTACTGCCTCCCTCTGAGTGAGCCAGACTACGGCTCACCGCTCCCCCTCTCTCTCTGTCTGAGTGAGCCAGACTACGGCTCACCGCTCCCCTCTACTGCCTGTCTGTGAGTGAGCCAGACTACGGCTCACCGCTCCTCCTCTTTCTCTCTCTCTGAGTGAGCCAGACTACGGCTCACCGCTCCCCCTCTCCCTCTACTGCCTCTCTCTCTGTCTGAGTGAGCCAGACTACGGCTCACCGCTCCCCTCTACTGCCTCTGTCTGAGTGAGCCAGACTACGGCTCACCGCTCCCCTCTACTGCCTCTGTCTGAGTGAGCCAGGCTACGGCTCACCGCTCCCCCTCTCTCTCTCTGTCTGAGCGAGCCTGACTACGGCTCACCGCTCCCTCCCCCTCCTCGACGCCCACTGACGGCGTCGGAGTTTCACAACAACAACTGGCTGCGCTGATCCACCAACCCCTCGCTGCTGCTGCCGCTGCTGCCACTGATGCCGGATGACAGGCGGCCACGCGCAGCGCAGCTCCTACTGCCGCCTCTACCGGCCGATGGAGAGCGCGCGTCTCCTTCTCGAAGGATGGCTAGAAACAGCTAACTTTTTGTTGAGAGAGTCGGTTCGTCGTCGTGCGGCTCAGTGAGTGTGTCTGTGTGTGTGTGTTTGTTTGTATTCTCCGAATCCGGTCCCGTGATCTCCCCTAGGTCGGGTTGAGTCCGTGCGTCAATGTGCGGCTGTGTGAGTGTGTGCGTGTAGGGGGGGGGGGGCACAGGTGGTGCATCAGCCACAGCCATCTCAGTCAGTCGACCCGTGGCACCTGCTGGGTCTGCCCCGTGACCTCCCGCCAGCGGGCTCTCGACACTTCACGTGGCCTCAACGTGCACCTAGCCTGGCACAAGCGCCGTGGTGACGTCACCGCCACCTCGCGGCGAATGGCGTTTTTTGTTGTTGTGTTTGTAATCTCGATCCTGAGATCTCCCCTAGGTCGGGTTGAATCCGTTCGCCAACTTGTGGATGTGTGAGTGTGTGTGTGTTTGTATTCTCAGAATTCGGTCCTGGGACCTCCCCTAGGTCGACTCAGCCTCAAATAAGTACCTCGTGAGGTGCGTACTAAACATCTCCAGTAGGGAGACAAAGGCGGCCGGGCGTGGTGTTGGCCACCCACCCCCTGGTGTGCCGTGCCTGCCTTCATAGGCTACTAGTCGCTAACAGCACTTGCCCCAACAGCGTGTTAAGGCTACACAGGGGGAGGGGGGGGGGATATTTGTCTCTGTAATCTCTATCCCGGTGATCTTTGTCTTGTAATCTCCGCAAAGATGTTCAGATTGTTGAATAATAAAGACGATAAAAATGGCTGAGATTGGTTATGCTCCTTGATTCTCAATTCACGGGATCGGTTCCCCCCTGCGAAGGCAGAGATCAAGAGCTGTCACCACCTCGAACTCTTCACTGCTTCACGTGCTCTCTCCTCTCCGCCCAGATCCCAGTCTCTCACCATCACCTCTGACAGGTACTCTCATGGACTCATAGATCTGTCCTCACATCTCTCACCGTCCCCTCTGGCAGAGACTCACATGGACCCATAGATCTGTCCTCACCATCTCTCACAGTCCCCTCTGACAGAGACTCACATGGACCCATAGATCTGTCCTCACAATCTCTTACAGTCCCCTCTGACAGAGACTCACATGGACCCATAAATCTGTCCTCACAATCTCTTACAGTCCCCTCTGACAGAGACTCACATGGACCCATAGATCTGTTCTCAGTCTCTCACCATCCCCTGTGACAGAGACTCACATGGGCCCATAGATCTGACTTCAGTCTCTCACCATCCCCTCTGACAGAGACTCACATGGACCCATAGATCTGACTTCAGGCTCTCACCATCCCCTCTGACAGAGACTCACATGGACCCATAGATCTGTCCTCAATCTCTCACCATCCCCTCTGACAGAGACTCACATGGACCCATAGATCTGTCCTCACAGTCTCTCACCACCCCCTCTGACAGAGACTCTCATGGACCCATAGATCTGTCCTCAATCTCTCACCATCCCCTCTGACAGAGACTCACATGGACCCATAGATCTGTCCTTAGTCCCTCACCATCCCCTCTGACAGAGACTCACATGGACCCATAGATCTGTCCTCAAACTCTCACCATCCCCTCTGACAGAGACTCTCATGGACCCATAGATCTGTCCTCAGACTCTCACCATCCCCTCTGACAGAGACTCTCATGGACCCATAGATCTGTCCTCAATCTCTCACCATCCCCTCTGACAGAGACTCACATGGACCCATAGATCTGTTCTCAGTCTCTCACCATCCCCTCTGACAGAGACTCACATGGACCCATAGATCTGTCCTCACAATCTCTTACAGTCCCCTCTGACAGAGACTCACATGGACCCATAGATCTGTTCTCAGTCTCTCACCACCCCCTCTGACAGAGACTCACATGGACCCATAGATCCGTCCTCAAAGTCTCTCATCGTCCCCTCTGACAGACACTCACATATAGACTCATACGCACACACAGAGAGAGAGATAGAGAGACGTAGACTCACGTGGAGATCTACCAATCATATAGGAACTTGTAGACTCACACACAGAGCCACAGACTAGTTCCAGAGACCCGCTAGGGTCTGTCCAGAGAGTCACCCACAACCGTCTCAAACGACAGCCCCCCTAAGCCCCTGGAAGCGTGGCTAAGGGGGGCACAACTGGTCCACACTGGCCAGTCGCCTCGGGAGAGTTGGGAGGTACCCACACTCTAACCCACCACCTTGCCGATTTACCGTGATGTACACGTGGTGTCCACCACGTGGTGTACACGTGGGGGGGAAGGAAGGAAGGAAGGGGGGGGGTAATCACTCCAATCACTCGCCCATCCACTCACCCACCAACTCACTCACTCACTCCACCCACTGCAACGCCGGGGGAGATGGAGTCGAACCGTCGGGACCCCTCCTGGGTTGAAATTTCCAGCGACGCTGCTCGCTGTAGTCACCACGGCGGCGGGGTGGTGAGAGGGGGGGAGCGTCCATGAGCGACTGTGTGAAGATCCAAAAAAAAGAACGACGTGGTGCGTTTGTCAACAACAACAAACAACAACAACAAACAACAACAATTCGCTTCGACGTTAACGCCTCAAGGCTGACGTGGGGGGGGGGGGGGGGGGGTGACGCTGCTGCTGTGGGGGGGGGGGGGGAGCGCAGGATTTGGTAGCCGCTTCGAACCCGGCGACCCGAGTTCGATTCTGGCTCACGGTCAACCAAACACAGGGTGACGATTGCCTGAACCGGTCACGGGGGGCTCCTCCCCCTAGGTCTACTCGGCCTCAAAATGAGTAAACTGGTGCGGTGTGTGTGTGCGCAAACATCGCCACTGGAGAGACAAAGGCGGTCGGGCGTGGTGCTGGTCATCCACCCCCTTTGCGTGCCGTGCCGGCCTTCATAGGCACCACTCGCTGAACAGCACTTGCCCCAAAAAGTCTGGAGAGGCTACACGGGGGATATTTGTCTCTGTGTCTTCGCGATACCGATTAACCAAGGGGCGACACGCCCCATGAAATCGAACCGCGAACCTCTCTGCGCGCTACCGCCGACGGCCGCTGGTTTTGTCGCAGCCCTGGAAATTGTGACCGGCAAAAAAGCGAGGCTCCGTTACCTGCACGTGGGGGGGGGGGGGGGAGGTGCACGGGACGTCTCTAACAACGTTGAGACGAGACGGGGGGGAGGGAGCGAGGGAGGGAGCGAGGGAGGGAGCCCTCCGCGGCCACCTCAAGCGAAGATGAATGATTGGTATCTCCACACAGATGGTGGGAGAGGGCATCATCCATCAACTCTGCGATGGAGCTGGTCAGAGGGAACCGTTTGCGTCCATCACGAGTCATTGGTTGCGTCCGCACGCTCAATGTCAACGCGCTCTTCCATTTACCGCCTTGTCCCCATCGGAAAGGGGCTCCCGAAAGTAATACCCACCTACTGCATCAACCACCACCATCATCCCATCATCACCGTGATGACGCCATCGCCGTGATGACGCCATCACAGTGATGACGACATCACAGTGATGACGACATCACAGTCGTGTGACGCCATCACAGTGGTGTGACGACATCACAGTGATGTGACGACATTACAGTGACGTGACGACATCACAGTGGTGTGACGACATCACAGTAACGTGACGACACCACAGTGGTGTGACGACATCACAGTGGTGTGACGACATCACAGTGACGTGACGATATCACAGTGGTGTGACGACATCACAGTGGTGTGACGACATCACAGTGACGTGACGACATCACAGTGACGTGACGACATCACAGTGGTGTGACGACATCACAGTGACGTGACGACATCACAGTAACGTGACGACACCACAGTGGTGTGACGACATCACAGTGGTGTGACGACATCACAGCGATGTGACGACATCACAGCGATGTGATGCAATCAAAACGTCGTGATATTTGTATTATTTTTATTCACTTTATCTTTGTTATTTTATTGTTATAATTGTTTTTTTCTATCTACGCGACTTTACCGGAAGAACCATAGAATATGAATTCCTGCAAGTCACGAAAGCTTTTAAGTCAACATAAATAGGCGACGTTTGCGGCAATGGCCCTTCTTTCATCTCGCCCAGAGATGATGACCACGCAGGCCCTACACGATTACACAGAGAAACGGGTGAGTAATATGTACGCTGAAATTTAAATTCCTTGTATGTGTGCATCCGATTACCACGATGTGGCTACACACGCTGCAAAATAAGATCAACAAATAGATATAAACAACATTCTTGTGTCCATTCGACAACAACCGCCATTCGCCACTACGTGCCGGTGACGTCGGCGCTTGTGCCAGGCTATGTGCACCTTGAGGCCACGTGAAGTGTCAAACGCCCGTTGGCAGGAGGTCACGGGACAGACCCAGGTGCCACGGGTCGACTGACTTAGATGACTGGCTGATGCACCACCTGTGCCCCCTACTGTGCCAACTTGCTGTGCTTTAGCCACCCGGCGCTCGGCTCGTTGTTGTGAGCGTCGCTCCTCTGCCCTCCTTTTTGTTGGAGGGCCTCCAACTGCCCAGTAGCGTCCTTCACGAGCCTCCTCCACAGAGGCCGATCTTGACACCGCTGGTACCAGTCATCGGCAAGTCCACTCAGCTCCACGTCCTCCTGTACCACATCAGCTCCATCTCTTCTCTAGCCCGTGTCACGCCCGTTTAGCCCCCTCTATCCGGGCAAACAAAAGCTGTTTAGGCATGCGGTGGCCGGGCATGCGGATTACATGACACAACAACAACAACCGCCATTCGCCACTAAGTGGCGGTGACGTCACCACGACGCTTGTGCCAGGCTATGTGCACCGTGAAGCCACGTGAAGTGTCGAACGCCCGCTGGCAGGTCACTGGGCAGACCCAGGTGCCATGGGTCGACTGACTGAGATTACTGGCTGATGCACCACCTGTGCCCCCTACTGTGCCAACCTGCTGTGCTTTAGCCACCCGGCGCTCCGCTCGTTGTTGTGAGCGTCGCTCCTCCGCCCTCCGTTGTTGTTGGAGGGCGACTGCCTCCAACTGCCCAGTAGCATCCTTCACGAGCCTCCTCCACAGAGGCCGATCTTGACACCGCTGGTACCAGTCATCGGCAAGTCCACTCAGCTCCACGTCCTCCTGTACCACATCACTCCATCTCTTCTCTAGCCCGTGCCGCGCCCGCTTAGCCCCCTCAATCCGGCCAAACAAAAGCTGTTTCGGCATGCGGTGGCTGGGCATGCGGGCTACATGACCCAGCCATCGCAGCCTTGCCT